GGAGAGGGAGAGGGAGAGGGAGAGGGAGAGGGAGAGGGAATGGGAATGGGAAAGGGAAAGGGGGAGGGTGTGCGTGTTAGCACATCCTGTTCCTAATGGTGAGGCTGTTTCCAAAATGGCACAGTAGCAACTTGGAAGCCCTGTTGGTGGCCAACCCTCTCACTTGAGAGTCAAAGGTAAGCTCATTTGAGTGTAATTTCATCATTGACACTAGGGTTGAGCTTTGCTTGCTCCTCATGTCATGTTATGGGAAGTCTACAGTCAACATAACCTAGGTCTTATTAATTAGCCTTCTATGATGCTATGGGTTACCTGTGTCCCTCAAAATTCCTGGACTGTAGACTTAATCTAAAAATCTGCTCACAGTATTTGTAGGTGAGGCCTTTGGGAGGTAACTAGAATTAGACGACTTCAGAGGGTTGGGCTCTGATGTAGCCCTTGGTGGCTTTAGAAGGAGGAGGGAAACTGAGGCTGACAGACTTGTCTTTCCATGTGATGACCTCTGCCATGTTATGATGCAGTAAGAAAGCCCTTGTCACTGGCTGAGCAGACACCAGCACCATGCTTGTGGGTTTCCTGACTTCTAAAATTGTCAACCAAAGAATTTTTTCTTTCATAATACACAATTTTGATTTTTTTTCTTTCTTTTTTTTTTTTTTTTTTTTTTTTTTCTCTATGTTGCCCTGGCTGTCCTGGAACTTTCTCTGTAGAACAGGCTAACCTCGAACTCACAGAGATCCACCTTCCTCTGCTGAGATTAAAGGTGTGAACCTACCACAACCTGGCTGGTAGCTTCTTTTCTCTATGAGTCACACAGGATCTGATATTCTACCATAGCAGCAGATTCGGATGGCACTGAGATGCAGGGGTTTAACAGCAGCCCTACCCTTAAGGTGTGAGAGTGTCAGTGGAGAGAGGGGGCTGAGCATGCACCTGCTCCCTTCTTCTTCACCATTACAGATGTGATGAGGCCAGCTGCCTTTACTTCCCTACAATGATGCACTGTAACTTGAACTGTGAGCTGAAATAAACGTTCTTGCTTTTGAATCGGGATATTTCACCACAGCAACAGGAAAAGAGAGTGAGGCATCAGAGATTCTAAAATTCCTGGCAAGGAACCTGTGTGCTTGCCAAGGCCCGTGCTTGAACTTCTGATTCTGTGGCTGTTGGTGAGGCTGCTGTTGGGTGGCATGGCATGTGGAGAATGAAGCAAAGGAGCCGGGAGGGGGAAATGGTCAGAAAAACAATCAAGCTCCCCAGAGAATTGAAAATCAGCTTTGTGAGTTGTAGAGTAAAAGCCACAGTTCTGTTTTAGTCTCCAACAGGGCAGGTATAAACTGTTTCTTTCAAGTAGGAAAGAAAGCATAGATAAACAACAGGCATCCTGGGAAAATCCCATTGGTATTTACTTCAAAGCTGTTGTTTTTTGAGGGAGTCCAGTTGACATCTCATCCACCACGGTTTAGATTCTTGCTCTCTCTCCAACCCACCCCTTCCTTTCCCCCTCCTACTCCTTTCTTCCCATTTCCCCTCTCCCCACACCCTTGGGTTGAATGCTAAGTACATATTCTACCCACTTTGGACCTAAGATACTTGGTCTCTGAGTCACAAACAAAACCTGAATAAGCCAATTTATAATCTCAATTTAAAAAATCATCTTAAACCTAACATTCTTAAATAGCAAATTAGACAATACTTTGGAATTTTCCTTCTGCTTCTTAATGAAATGACAGTGACATCTCAAGCTAAGCTCCCCTGTGCCTGGACCAGTGTAAGGCCCCATCTGCATCTCACTCTGCTTTTTCTAATTCCATGAGACAGACCAGAGATGACATACACCACATCATGATTACCTGTTGGGTTCAGGGCTGAATATACTACACATTCTCTCACTTAATTTTTGTGACCTTGTCAGATTGATGACATAATTTCCATTTCAAAACAGATGAAGAGAGTTAAGATATTGAAATAGCTTGCCTCAGGACCAACCTCACTGAAGGAAGTCAAATAGGGTCAAAGATTAGCCTATCATATTCCAACCCAACATGGCACTGGCTGTCCTGTGTTGTGCCTGTGACAGCCCATGCCACATCCAGGTTACTGACCTTGGAAAATTCCTACAGAGACACTGTCCCTGTCCCAATAGGATTGGTAACTGCAGAGAAGTCAAAGGAGAGGTGAACTTTGGTTTGTATTTATCATGCCAGGCCTTGCCCTTGGGGACCTCACACATTAGCACCTCACCCATTAGCACCTTGACCATTAGCACCTCAAATCACCCACTGGAGAGGTGAAAGCTGTACTGAGCTGAAGAAATTTCCTTAGATTTTTCTTCTAAGGAGACTAAAAAGAACCTTCAATTCTGATACACCTGCTCTTTCTCCTTTCTATTTCTAGCTCATTGAAATGAAAGAATCTTCGACATCAGAGCCTTGGGAATATATGTCTGCACTTTGAGTTGGATAATGAGGAGACTCACGCTCACAGGTAAGTGGGTGATGGCAGAAGACCCTCTCCCTCCCCCCAGGGAGACTGGAGAGGTAGGGGAACTTACGTAGAAGATATTCTGCTGTGTCCTGTTCATAGTCTGCATCTTCTGGGAAGTGATCAATTTTCTTGCACACTCCTCGGAAAGCACCTGTGAAAACAAACAGGGCCCTGAGCCAAGGGAAGAGTGTTACTGGGGTCCAGGCTTCATGGTCAACTCCATGTTGCATATACTCCCCTGGTCATCAGAAGCTGTGCATAGAGGCCCAACAGCTGGGTTAAGTAGGGTGCATAAAGGAAACTAGTTGCTGTAGTTTGGCTCTTGAATGTCCTTGGGAGGTCCATGCATTAAATGATAGACTTGAGGTTGGGAATAGAGTTCAGTGGTAGTTCACTTTCTTAGAATGTCCAATTTCCAGCACATGCACAAACACACATACAAACACACATACAGATAGACACATACACAGGTATAGACACAGACATAGACATACACAGGCACAGACACACTTATAGACACACACCTAGACATACACAGACAGACACACAGACAAACACATATATACAGACACACACAGACACAGACATACACATGGACACAGACACACACAGACAGACACAGATACACAGTCACAGACATATACACACACAGACACAAACACACACAGACACACACACACACTCACACACACTCACACATACACTTGTCATTGGTAGGAGGTGCTAGAACTTTTGAGCACAGAGAGAGAAAGGTAGGTCGTTAGGTGCATGCCTAAGAAGGAAATTTTAGGAGCTTTGCTTCCTGTTTACAATGAAGAAAGCAGCCCTCTCACCATATCTTACCTAACAGGAACCACCATGTTCTGTCTCACCAAAATCTCAAACAGCAGAGCCAATTAACCATGCCCTGAGGCTTCAGAATCAACATTCTCCAGAAAACTTCTTTTCATTAAGAGTTGATTTATGTCAGGCATTGTGGTACACCCCTGTGATTCCAACGACAAGGGAGGTGGAAACAGTAGGGTTGCAGGTTCAAGACAAGGTCAAGGCCAATTTGGGAGATACACAAGACCCCCTCTCAAAATAAAAATAAGAAATAAGGAGAGGGAAGTAACTCAGTAGTAGAGCACTTATACTCAAGGCCTACTACACACACACACACACACACACACACACACACACACACACACAGTGTTTTTCTCGGTATTTGTCACAGTGAGCCACAGCTAACATATAAGAAGAGACAACAGACAATAAATACATTCGATAAAAACTGAGAGGCTAAAATGCTCTGTGTTTCAGATACTGCATGCTGTTGCCATCACAGAAGGACAAAGATCTAAGAAGCATGAGAGCTTGGTGCAGGGTCTCCGCTCTCCTGCCTTGGTGAGGGAAAAGGGAGGAAGAACTGAAGCATTTGATTTATCTTCCCATTTGACAGATAAGCAAAGGAGAATTTCACTTCCAGTCACTTAGGTAAGCAAAGAGCCAACATTCCAATCCGGGCATTTGGGAATAGTCTCCGGTCTCCAACCTGCCAGTTCTGACCACAGGTCTCTTCCCTCGGGAAGGAGATGACAGTCACCCTCCCCCTACCCTCCTCCACCCTTCCCCTACTCTTGTGGAGCTCACTCAGACCCACAGAGAAGCTGTCAGCATTCTGCTTTTTTTCCTTCCTCCAGCATAAACTTGACTCAACTCATTGTGTGTGTTTGATAATCATTGTGGGTGTTTATTAACTAGCCAATTAACCAATCTCTGGGGCAGTTAATGACTCTGTCAGTTCTTATAAATGACAAACACTATTCAGAAAGTCTCACAGCACAGCATGAAATTATGCTTGTGTTTCCTCTTCCCTGTCTGCAAAGACGGATGCAGGGAGGTGAGGGGCAGTGTAGTGTAGAGCCAAGCAGGAAGGTGGAGAATTAGACAAAGCCAGCCATGCTTTTCAGTGAGGTCACCGTAAAATGAGAAAAAGGCCATCTATGAAATATATATGTGTATATAATTCTTGTGAAGCTTGGGCGCATAACCATAATAGCTGTCTCTTATTAAGTGTTTCTGCAGGGAAAAGATGGCTTAGTGGCTGTAGGACTTGATGCTAACCATGAGGATTTGTGCTCAGCTCCCCAGCACTCTCGTACAAAGCTGAGTGTGGTAATGGTGATGTCTACCTGTAATGAAAGTGCTGGGAGGTGGAGACAGGAGAGTCCCCAAGGCTTACTGACCAGACAGTCTAGCTGAATTAGTGAACTCTTGGTTAGTGAGAGACCCTGTCTCAAAAGATAAGGTGGAGGGCTCGAAGATTGGCACAGTAGATAAATGTGGTTGCTGCATGATTTTAATGGTCTGTATTTAATTCTAGGAACCCACATAAAGATAGAAGGAAAGAACAGACTCTAAAAACTTGTCCTCTGACCTTCATACATGCCCTGTGGTACACACCCACCCACCCACCCCCTCACACACACACATTAAAAAACAAATGGGTTGGGATGCTACATGCCTTTAATCCCAGCACCCTGAAGGCAGAGACAGGCAGATCTCTGTGAATTCAAGGCCAGCTTGGTCTACATAGTAAGTTCCAGGCATGCCAGTCAGAGCTACATAATAACACCCTGTCTTTAAAAAAAGAAAAGAAGAAGCAACTAAAGAAGACACTCAAGATTGACCTCTGGCTTCTACACATATAAACATGTATACACATATACACATATACCAACTCATATCCTTGTACTCACACACAAAATGAGTATTTCCAATTGGCCAGGCACATTGATGAAGCCCACCATCCTTTGAAGCAAGGCTGTTAATATTGATATTTCTGATGGGGCACTGAGGATAACAAAGGCATCCTAGCTGCTGAGGTTTCAAAGCCTGAGGCTTCACCATCAGACTATGAAGAGCCATCATTGCTGTGTCTACTATTTTTGTTCCTATGATTATCTTACAATACTAAGAGTTCTATCTATTAACTCCTTACTACTCACTACCATGAGTAGGCTCCAAGCCAGCAGCATTCCACAGTAATTGCAGTGAGGTATGTAGACCATATCTTTGGTTCTGATTCAAAGAATAGACTCAGAATCCGGAAAAGGATCTAGGGGCGAGGAATCAGGAAATTCTTGGAAGGAAAAACAAACAATAACCTTTCTCCTAACCCTGAAGAAAATACATTAATTTCACTCTTGTATTTCACAGCTTTGTTCTCATGTTCCCATTTGTTGAGTGTGTTATGTCTTGACATAGGTCCTGAAGACCCATGCAGCAGTCTTCAGGGTGATTGAGTCATGGAGGCTCTAAGTTTATCAGAGAATTAATCCTCTGATGGGTTTATAGCTGAACAGACATAGAGGTTCTGGAAATGGTAAGTCTTTGGAGATATGCATGCCTGAAGGCTGTATCTTGTCCTCAGGCCCATCCCTCTCTTGTTTCTTTTTGTTTGTAGCAATCACTATACTATAAAATGAGTAGCTTGCTCTGTCATTGTGATTCTTCATCATAAGCCCAAAAGCACTGGGTCCAACTAACCATAGACAGGAGCCTTTCAAACTGCGAGCTAAAAGGAACACATGTCAGGCATTTTGTCCCAGCAATGGGTAGTGTACTGACACTGGAGCTAGTAAGATGGCTCAGTGGGTAAAGTGCTTACTGCACAAATGCGGAGACCTGAGTTTAGATCTCTAGCACTCATGGAAAAACAGGTGTAACATCATGTATTTGTCACCTCCGTGCTAGGGTGAGGGCAGGTCCTGGGGCCTTGCTGGGCAGCCAGGTTAGTAAGCTCTGGTTTAGTGAGAGCCCCTGCCTCAAAAATGAGGAATGCAGTAGAAGAAGACATCTAAAGTTGACTACTGGCCTCTGCAGATGCACACCAATACAAGTACACACACACACACACACACACACACACACACACACACACACTCACATTCCACACACACACCCCACTCATGCATACATACAAAGTGGATCAACACAAATTGACTGGATAATATCATGATAATACCTATTGCACATTTACTATAGCCCATGAACCACTTGAAGTATCTTATATGCTTTTTACTCTATAGCTCTTAAAATACACCATTTTGTGATCAGTTTTTCAGAAGAAAAAAAAAACTGAAGAGGGTGGAGAACACTATCACACTATCACACCAGTGTACTGTCTTATGGATTCCAAAGTTGAAAGTCCTCAGAACCTCTGTGACTCTTGCTTTCTTCAGGAGTTTTAGAAGTGGGAGCACAGTACTTCTCCAGGTGACTTAGTGACAGTTTTGTGGTCATCCCTTGCTATCAATAGTGGCAATGGGGTCCACCAGTGCTTTTCTCACCAGCTATGTTTCTTCCCTGAAACAGGCCAGGTGCCCCTGGACAGAGCAAGGGACTTAAAGAGTAGCTTCACCTCACTGTGAGCTTTTTTATGTATTCCACAGAAGGTTGCACAGGAAGAAAAGGTTCAGGGAAGATGGAATGTGGGCTCTTCTAAAACAGACCACTCAGGATTATTACGGTGATTATTACGGTGATTAGTAGGTGCCTGTCTGTATCTCTTGTGAAGCACGCCACTCCGTGATTTAGGCAGCATGAGACCGGTACTTACAATCAGGAAACACACTAGCCAGATTGTGTGTGTGTGTGTGTGTGTGTGTGTGTGTGTGTGTGTGTGTGTGTGTGTGTGTGCCTACACATGAGTGCAAGTGAGCCTGCACATGTGTATATGTGTATCCTCAGTTGCTGTCTGCCTAAAAAAATTCATTTTATTTAAAAGTCATGTGTCTACATGTGGGTATATGTATGTGAGTGCAGGTGCCCCCAGAAGCCAGAGGTCTTGGGTTCTCTAGGAACTGGAGCCACAGGTTATGGGCTGCCTGACATGGGTACTGAGAACCAAACTCCATAGGAGCAGTTTGTGCTCTTAACTCCTGAGTCATCTCCCCAGCCCCCATTTTTTTTTTTTTTTTGGAGACAGGCTGACAGGCCAGCAAACACCAGGGATCCTCTTGTCTCTACATCCCAGTGCCTGTATTATAAGCACGTGGCATCACGCTACTTGTCGTTTTCATATATGTTCATGAAACAGATTTTCATGTTTGACCACCAAGTATGGTATTAGCTAAGCTATCTCTCTTGCCCCAGCATACAAGGGTT